CCGCACATTGGCGCACGCGAGTGCTCGCCGCCGCTCGCGGAAGGCTTCGGCATCGGCAGCATCAGCGACGTCTGCTGCGGAGCCAGCACGCGGTGCGGCAGCGGCTGTGCGGGTGGCGCTGAGCAGAGTGTCCCAGCGTCCAGCAAGGAAGTCGCGTGAACGTTGCAAGAGGGCTTCCCGGCCGACCGTGCCCGGTTCGCGAGGGCGGTGGAGCAGCAGGCGCGGCGCGAGCAGGAACAGTTTCCAAGCTCGGGTTTGCTGAGAGGCCGTGCCGCGTGTGTATGCTTCGCGGAGAGCGCGTAGAGCGAGGACAAAAGCTTGTCGCACGCCAGAGCGCAAGAACACGGGCACGCTTTGCATGGTGGGCATGGGCGTGCCGAACTCGGCAGCGAGGTCGACAGCATCGAGGCTGGACCACGCAGCAGCCGGAATGCCAGCGAGGGCGGAGTGGCCCGCCCCTCCCTGCGAGGTTTCGGCAGCAGGGACGTCGTAGGTGAGTGGAGGCGCGTCGTCGTGGCAGTCTGCGACGGAGTGGTCGCCTTGTGTGGTGTCCGGCGCGCCTGTCCAGCAGACGTGTGGTCGCACACGACGTGGTGCCGGCGCGGCTGGCACAACCTGTGGGGAGGGCGCCTCGTCGCGCGCTTGTGGCGCAGGCGTCGACGGGGCCGGTTGCGTAATCGGGGGTGGCGGGGACGCGGTGCGGGGCAAAAGTACATTCAAAAAAAAGAAACATCTGGAAATGCGGGAACCCACAAGCCATTAACGCTTAAACCCAAAAACAACCAGAAACGATGAAGCAGGAATCCAGAAACCCGAAGCACTTACAGGGAGACTCGAAAGCCCAACCCTAACCGAATTCAGCTCGAAAACGCATCGATAAGAAATGACACCTGTTGAAAGATTGACAAAGGCTTTGGCACCAAAACAGCAAATCACGAAAATTATGGTTTGCAGGCACCTGGCGGGCTCCGGTGAGGGGAGGCGAAGTGGGACATTTCAGGGAGGTGGAAGGCCTCCGCCGCAAGAACCGAACCCAAACCAGCACCACGCAAACGGGGCCCAACCGCCACAGAAACCAAGCGCAAACGAGTCCAGAGACCGTAAACAGAGCCGAACACCAGGACAGAGGAGCCGGGAGGTTTGATCGGCTTCCCGCAGGCTTCACCGAAAACTTGATCCATGTCATCGCCGCCTCGGAACTCCCATTGACCTTCAGTGTACGTGCAAAACACCCCACACTCCGGCAGCCAATCCCGCAGCAGTTCCACTTCAACTCGCTATAACCCTGTCAGCATGCATTCTGGACAAGCGTTGATGGACGACGAGTCGCTCCGACTCATCGCTCAGTTTGTGCGTCTGTGTGCCCTGCGAGCCCCTGCTCCGCTACGAACAGCTGCCACCCAGGGCTGGTACAGGCGGGTGGGGCCTGCTGAGAGCGGCGGTGTTAAAACCATGCAGCACCGTAGTTCGCAGGTGCACTGGGACGGCGCGCAGGTCGCCAGAAGAGGCCGTGAAAAAGCAAATCCATCTGCCCTACTTCAGCACCATGTTTTGCACTGCTCCATGTCCTCGCTCGTGGACGATGTGTGCATTTTATTAATCAACCCCCCGTCACGCAAGTGTTTGCCTACGCTTGCTTCGACAGCGTCGCGTCCGATTCATCTGCTCTGCACCGTGGCATTGATCCCAAGCTTGGCAAAATGCAGGGTCTGTGTTTTGCACGCCCAAGCCGCCCAAAGTTGCTGGCAAGCCCACGCGTACCAAGCCCGCATCGCTCGAGGAGCGTCTCGCGGATGTCTGCATCGTGCGCTGCTGCGGCCGCGGGGCCGCACTCAAAGCCAGCACAGCGACGTGCTGTGTAGGTCAGGCAGTTGGGGCAGCTATTGCAACATAGTGCAACAAACTTTAAGCGTTGCTCGTCGGCTCAAGCTTGAGCAAACTCAGACTCCTGCCGACGGGCTTGCCGAGCACGGCTGTGCCGACGGTGGTTTATTCCCGCGCCACACGTCCTCGCCCAACTCGACGATCCCAGGCCTGTCCCAGACAGGACCCGCGATGACGACTACGGAGCCACTCGAAGACGCAGGCAAGCCCATGAAGCGCGCCCGCGCATTGGGTTTGGCGACCAGTGCATGTTCCTTTGGGAGGCCGACGGTCGACGACTGCAACGCGCCACGGTTCGCGACGACTTAGTCACGAGCTCGTTGGAGATGAACGTGCGGATTGCAGCGCGGGCTGGACCGTGCACGGCGCTGTCGGCTGGTCGTGGTCGGCATCGAGGTTAGCGGCAGGCTCCTCGAGCTCCCCCGGCCACTGCCGAGTTGGATGAGGGCCCCATGCCTCAATGAATGAGTTCCGCCCCGCGCTGGGATTAGGCGACCCCATCGTGTGGGGCCGTGGCAGGTGGCCCCCGACAAACCGGGCCAACCCAGCCTTTGGAGCAGAGGTTGACACCCACGGTGGCTAGAGCGCGGACCCCAGAACGCAGGTGCAGAAAGGCGTGAACATGATTACATGTAGCAAGTCTATGTCTATGCGCCGGTCGCATCTTGGGAGTGGGACGCAATAGAGTGATTCAGCCATCTCTGTACTTATACACATGGACCTGCCCGTCCATGACTTGGGGGTTTTGCAGGAATAAAGCCTCGTCGCGCATGTTGCTGACTACCTGGACTTGGGTGCTGGATGCCATGTTCAATTTGTTCGGATGCAGCCACAGCCGGCTCCCCAGCCGTCCGCCCTCCTTGTTCATGCACACCCGTCGCATGCACGGCAGTGCGCGCTAACAACTGGAACAGCTTCAGCAGCAGTTAGCGAAGCACCTGCCGCATTAGCAGCATCCACCCACGCACTACGGATAGGCAGCGTTCTCTGCAGATTACAGCTCAAGACCGTTTGGTATCAGAGAGCGTCAATAGCATTGCCGGTTAAAGTTGCGAGTGTCAACGAGAGGAGTCGTAGCGACTGATTTTGAAATAGGTGCAGTAATGTTGATACTTGTTGGCGCGACGATGCATGCGGATGGAAAATGTTCGGTTTATAGGCTAGGCTCGTTTCAGATCAGGCAAGCCAAAGTCATGTCGGACGCTGTTCTTAGTGTGAATTGTTCTGATGCCAACTGCTGTGCAGCATGACTTGGGAGTCTTACGCTAGATTCCAGAAGATTTCGGTGGATGCCGATGCAGATGCAGCAAGTTCGGATGATGATGTGGCGGACAACCCCCACACGGAGGAAGGAATGATGAAGGCCTTCGTGTGCCTACATGAACTTCGCATGAAAACGGATGCGAAGATGAAGGAATGCGGCCTTGCAGATGCAAGTCCTGATGCAAAACTTGATCATGATGTGAACCTGCAGCAGGCAGGTGTTGCGCTGAAGGAGTATGACAGCATTAGCCATCGTGTGCTGGCTATGGATGGCGCCAACGACGAGAAACAGCTTCATTCCGTGGGTCATGCTATCGAAGTTTCGCATTGCAGGAGTTCGGCGGCCAGAATCGCATACTTCTGCCAGTCATACAGCCTGGCAATGCAGCGTTCGTCCCAGGCCGTGCGTGCCTGCAGTGCGGCTCTCGATTCCACCCACAAGCAATGCTTTGCGATTGCACTACTTCAAAAAACGCTGGTGGATGCCCTGGTTCTTCGCTCGATGACGTCGCTGCAGCAGGGCAGTTACAACAAAGCACGGAAAGACGCACTCCTGGCACACGCAAAGTCGAAATATGTACCAGATAAAGCGGAGGAGACATTGAGGCTCGCAGTCCGCTGCGAAATGGCACTGAAGGCGGGTGGCCCTGGTGCCAATGGCGAAGGTTGTCCGTTGACACCAGAAGCTGCTTGCGCATTGCAGTTGGGCAATGTTAGCACAAAAGAGCCATCCACAACCAATGCCATACTTTCTGTGCGGATGCCCGAGGCCGGCCTCAACGACATGGACTAATTCCACAGCCGTGGGTCCATGCAATGCTCACGCCTGCAGACAGCATTAGCCAATGCAGTCGCAGATTTGGGAAAAAGGTGCCTTGCGATATGCCTTCAATCGGATATTAGCTGGAATCTAGCCGAGGCTGAGCAGTACTCGTAACGCTTCAAAGGTCCGACAGAAGTCGCTACGTTCATATGTTGGAGGGCTGGTGGACTTTCCAGGTCCAGAGTCCACAGTTGTATCATGACATGGCTCGTTTTGATCAGCATGTCATATCAGTGCCTGTGCGTAGGGGAGAGGCAGTCAAGAGAGAGTGCGAGGGAGACACGCGAAGAGCGACAGAGAGTCGGAGAGAGAGAGAGAGGGAGCCCTGGCGAAAGAAAGAGAGAGGTGTGGAGTTGCAGGGGGCGGCCGGATATCTTCATCCAGATGATGCTCGCGATTTGTAGGACACCAGAAAAGCACATAAAGCACATAAGCACAAACCCCGAAAAAATGCAAGTAGGCATATTCATGTGGAAGGCTGATGTCCTTCTTTGGGTTTCTGGTGAATACCGATCTAAAGGCGATGGGCCGCTCGACCATGGCCAGCGGGTGGAAATTCAAGCACGTTGCGCAGCCTTACCCGTGATGCTTCTGCTTCCAGCACGACTTGTGCAGTCACCCGCGGCTCAACGTCTGCTGAAGTTTCTTGGTCCTGCCATTCTCCAGCAACAACAGTCACTTCCGAGCACAACCAGGAAAGATCATATAAGTCTGCTTTCAAGAGAGCCGCATTTAGTGTGAAAGCAATCACGGGACTTTCCACGTTGTCCATCGCCAATCATGGTTCCAAGCCCATGGCTCAAACAAGAGAAGCCCCATCCGCACGAAACCTGGACGACCCTCCTGATTTTCCTCGTACCACTTAGGACATCGCATACCGTGGTGCTCCACATCGCTTGGGACCAAGAGTTGGGCAGAAGAGTTAACCGTCATAGCCGTCCTTCGATTGTTTGGTGAGCTTTCTGAAAGGTTTGCGAATCCAACGACTGCCAGCTATGGCGGACTGATGAGTGCTGTGCTCAGTTAGCCACCTTGCAGCGAGATTGCATTGATGCTGTACGGCGATTGCAGGTCAAGGATATGTGCCTCCGGGACAATTTGAGGACATCCGGAATCAGACCCATGTAGTTTCTATGTAAATCACATGCCGATACGACGTGTTGATACATTGAGTCAGGACCTGCTGAATCTTATCCGCCAAGCATCGGTGCGCTGCTTGGAACAACGGGCTGCCAATCCACAGGGCAAGAATCGTGTCAAAAATCCAGGCAGCGTCGGAGCGCGCCATGAATGCTGCAAAGTACGCAGAGATGGCTGCATCTGCTGCACTTGCCTGAGTTTGCGAAGGCTGGGATTTGTCACTGCCAGATCAACACGACACGGCTCCACAGGTGGCTTATGATCGTTTGCGTTGAGTTAAGCCGAGACCAAGGCTGGAGCTGCCGGCCAGCAGGCTGTTGTGTTGCTCTCGGCAAGCAAGCATAGAATCTCCTTGCAGTGCTGCAATTGGGTCCTGTCTTGCTGAGGTTCGGGCCATGCACATGGCTAACGCCCCTGGTGCTCCAACAGCAGCGCCTTTTTCGCCTGGAGCTCCTGATCCCGGAGTAGGCGCGATGACTTTGGCATACAGCAACCTATGTAGTATCATGCAGTACGAAACTCAGTAACCGCGACAGCTATTGAGCTATACCATACAAAGCATCCAGATATATGTCAGAAACCACAGGTTGCATGTGGCCGTGAAGCAATGCACAACTCGCGAGGGAAGTCTAGGTCAGGATGCAGACAGCACCGCGGTATACTGTTCCCCGGAAAGCGGGAGGTCCTAAATGCTCAATGCTTGAAAAGGGGTGGAGAAGGTAGGGATCCAGCGTCATCGAGGGAGCAGGCAAGTAGATGCAACAACTTGTGATGTCTTGACCTCGAAAGCTAACGGAAAACGTAGGGAAGGTGAAGAGCGGACTTCAACAAGAGCCTTTTTGGCTTTCCGAGCAGCGACAAGGTGAGACAGTTCGTTGCCTACTTCGTCTAATTTCGTTTACACGTTTGAAAGCACGAGACTTGACGCGGCGTAACCACTATAGAGCAGCAATGGACGTGGATTCGGGCGCAGAGGGGCCTAATGTGGAGGAGGTGCCACCTCCACCTTTGCCTCCAGCGGGCCCAAGCGCCAGACGCACAAGAGTTCAGCTTCCGGATCATGATCATGATGATGGTCCTACATATTATCGCCTTGGCATCGACTACCCTATTGACGCTGACGACGACGAGGTCTTGCATCAGTGTGCACGCATCAAGCTGCTTGGATTCCTACTTGTTGTTGTCAGCTAAGAGAGACACTGTTTCCCAACATAACTTCCACTACTAAGTCGTACCAAATCCATGGCTGAAGTTGTTCGATGTCCGGCCATGTCTTGCCGGCCCCGACTGAGGAAGTTGGAAAATCTAGAGGCTGTTGGAAAGACCCGCGGCTAAAACTTGGTGGCGTCCGGCACGAGACATGCTTGTATCTCATGTCATGCCGATGCGCCGGTGCAGTAGTGCGGTGTGTATTGTCACCTGCCTCAACTGCGTGCCTGTCAGGAAGCTTCGGAAATTGTGCCGCCTGGCTTTCTTCTAGGGCTGCAACGGAAGCTTTGTCCATGCATCAAGCCAGAAAGAGACATGCTGCAACTCTGCTTTTTCAGAGGCTTGGTCGCCAATTGTGTCGAGAAGATTGAGAACCTGGAGACCAACACAAACCTTGAGCATTTGGAGACTCTCTGCTACAAGATGATGCGTTCAGGGTTTGCTCGAGTTTAGCTTGAGTCAATGTTGGCTGAAAGCAAGGCTCTATCAAAACATGGTGAAGAAAATCGAGAACATCAGCCATTTGCGAAACCTCACGGTGCTGGACTTGTCATTCAACAAGATCCGCAGCACAGAGCCGCTGGCAGCTTGTCCGTTCGAGTATCTGGAGAACCTATACTTGTCAAGCAACAAGATTGTGGACGTGGAGGGCATCTTCCATTTCACCCAGTTGAAGATGTTGGAACTTGGATCCAACAGGATCAGAGCTATCCCCGAGCAGGTTTCGTCCCTTGTGAATTTGAAAGAGCTTTGGCTGGGCAAGAACAAGATTACAAGCATGTCTTTGCCAGCACTGCCTGCCCTGCGACATCTCAGCTTGCAAAACAATCGGCTGGAGTCTTGGGAGCCTTCGTTCTTTCGTAATCTTGCTGGCCTGACCCACTTGTACCTGGGCCATAACAACCTGCCTGACCTTCCTGACGAGTTTGCTTTGTTGGCAGATCTGGTTGAAGTGGACTTAGTGAGAAATGCCATCACTCAGATAAAGCCCATTCCAGAGTTGCAGAAGCTGCAAGAGCTTTGGATGAACGACAACAAGATCGAGGACTTGGCGCAGATTGCCAACCTGGCATCCTTTCCTTCGTTGAAAACAATTTATCTGGAGCGGAATCCAATGCAGGATTTGGGGAACAAGCAAGCGGAAGAGAGGTACCGCGAGGCGATCCTTCAAGCAGTCCCCTACATCGAGCAACTTGACGCCGAACGCTTGAATATTGAGTTGAAAGTCATTAGTGATGGAACAGAGCGACAGGTGATGGGCATTCGGCGAGCCTAGATAGCTGATGAAGCTGGGACCACTCTGAAGTGCAGTTGCAGGGTGGCACTGACTTTGTAAAGTGCTTGCGGGCGGCAAAAGCGAGGCAGAGACCCTAACCAATGTGCAAGCACAGGGTCAGATCGTCTCAAGGTATAGGCAATGCCAGCAGGCTTGAATTGCTCAGTGCCTTCACTACCGCAGCCGAGTCGAAAACCTAGCACAGCAGTACCCGATGTGTGCCATGCTTCTCCACTATGCAGTCGCTGAAAGCCCTGGCCCAGTCCACGCTGGGCGAAATCAAGGACGCGCTGGTCGATGCCGTAGGAGACGACGATGACGAAGAAGATGGCCATCAAAGCTCGCGGATCCCGACACCTAGCCCTCTGAATTCGTTTGAGCAGCAAGCCACCTTGAAAGGCGAAGATTCAGCGTGTGCATCCGTATCTGGGGACTCTGAAGCTGACCCATGCCAACACGAGCAACATGAAGCATTAAAGGAGTTCGCAGAGCTTTGCGAACTCCCAGGTCTGAAACACAGCTTGCAGCTTCTCGGCGCTAGCTCTGAGGCGTCGCAAGATCTAATTCAGGCCATCTCGGAGAAGGGCAGCGAGTTGTCCACTGCGCAAGTGGCGAGCTGGTGCTGCAAGGTCTTAAGGCAGGCATTGCCCCGAATTGCACTCGAAGCTGGGTCTTCGCACGCCCCCAACGAAACAAAACGGCTGCTGACATCATTCAACGAGCGGTACGAGAAGTTGCTTGAGGAGCACATGGCACTCCAGCGGAGATGTCGAGATCTGACATCAAAGAATGTTCAGTTTGAAGCTTTGGCTCAGCAAGCCGAGGCTTGGCAGAGTGCGCACCAAGCAGCCATTTGTCGCGTAGAGCAGCTTTCGTCCGAGAATGCAGAGCTCAAGGAACAAATGGCGTCTTTGCGACGGCAGGGCATTGAGTCAAAGGAGCGCTCGCAGCTGCAACAACTTCTCCGGCAAAAAGATGCAGAACTGCAAGCTTCTGCAGACGCTCTGCAGAAGTTGGAGGAAGTCATGGAGGAACAGAGCGCGCTGCACGAGCAGAATGCCAGCTTGAAGCGCGAACTCCGCGAGGTCCAGGCCGCACGAGCTAGAGCCTCTGGCGGAGCCTCCGCGATTGCGATTGCAGTTGGGGTTCCGGCTCCAGAGCCGGACTCTCTCGCGGTTGACATGTCAGTACTTTCAAGTCGGTGTAGGGCCGTAGAGGCGGAGCTGAAAGAGACGTCTGCAGCTCTAGAGGTTTTGTTAGAAGAGAAGGGACGCAGACTTGAAGACCAAGAGTTTTTGGTGGATCGTCGGCTGGTCGCCTCCATGCTTGCACTGTATCACGAGCACCTTGCTTCCGGGCAGCGAGCCCTGGCTGAGCAGGTTTTAGCTCAAGCACTTCACGTGCTTGGCGGTGTGCCGGAGGAGGCTCAGAAAAGTCGTGCACAAGTGAAAGCTGCAGCGGCAGCTGCTGAAGCCCGGCTTGCTGAGCCACTCGGCAACGCTTTCTTGGATTTCCTGGAGAAGGAGGCTACGAATTCTGAGTCATTGCCACAGGCGGATTTTGAGAATCTGAGCCAGGAGAAGCGCATGGTAGAGGCTCCCGAATCGTTGCAGTGAGACATTGCCGAAAGGTGCCGCATGACGTGACCTTGCGACTGGGTCGCGCAGACTTATGCAGGGGACGATGAAAAAAAGCGCGGTCGGCGTCAGAGTGCACAGGGTCTGTGGGAATGTGACTCGCCAGGGATTGGTGTCGCCAGCATGCCTTGGGGTGCCTGCCATATGCTTACAACTACAGCATTGTCGTCTCCAGCGCTTGTGAGCATGGTTGTCTTGCAAGTGTTTGTGAATGAGGTTTCTTCAGCTCACTGGGAGGCAGCTATATGTGGACGTTCGGTTGAGGTGTGTCGTATGACGCATGAGACCTGCTGAACCCTGAGAGGTCTCCAGCCGAATCAAAGCGACAGGACGAGGTAAGCATGTTCATGCCGTGACTCGAAATTTGCGACTGGCATACCTTGAACAATTTTGCAGGTTGAAGCGCGATAATCGTTTCCTCGCAACAGCCCGGGCCTTTCTTCCCCTTGCCATCCCTTGCCTTGGTCCGTCTCTGTCGAGTCTTAGCTTGGATGCCGAGGCTTAAAGGCTCAGCGGCTGGCTGTTTGTCGGAGACGAATGCAACGACGAGTGCGCACAGACTGCGAGGATGCACGAGCCATCATGCGTTCGAAAGAAGTACGGTGCTGCAAAGTTTTGCTTGGAAACTGCAAAGCCAACATGGCACCAGCAAGAGACAGCTTTGTTGAAGTTCGGGTTGCTCAGAAGATCTCAAAAGTACCTGTGCTGTCAGCCCAAGCAAGGGGGTCAGTTAGATGACAAGTGCAATCAAGCTACATAATGCACGCTACGATCTTGTTTCTTGATCGGGCCATGTTGTTTGAACAGAGCCTAACCATGTGCCTTGAAGGGAGGGCCTTCCTGGCACTAAAACCTATCGGGCAATGGGATGGAAGCTGAATCACAAGCGGTCGGTTTTCTGCGCAGTCGAGTCCTGAATGTTATTTCCTGTGATTTTCCAAAGTTCCGGCAACTAGGTCCTCAGGCGTGTCCATAGGCAATATAGCTATATTATAGTACTCAACTGGTATGAACGATTTTGTCGCTGAAGGTAACCTTGCTGGCGTATGCGCCCGCCTCAGATTGACAACATGAGTTTCGAGGTTTCGGAGAGCCACAGCTAATCGCACGAGGCCAAGCAAACTGCCATGCCATGCCATCCCATGCCAGGCATGCCTTGATCAGTGGCAGCTTCCCTTTGCTCACTGGAAGCGCGCAATCGGCACGAGAAACATCCAGAAGGATGGGTATTTTGAAGCCTTCCTGCCAATCCGGTGCTTCTCATCCAGCGGCACAGAGCCAGGCCAAGGAGACCGCACGACGGCATCGGCAACGAAGTGTGTACTGTCAGGGCCTGATGCAAAGACAGGGTTAGACGGCTAGAAGCTACAGTTCCCAAAGCATGCGAAAGTCAAAATCAGTTTTCTCTCAAAAGCCTCCGTCCCATTCTGCTTCGAGTCTGGAACTCAAACACATCTCGGGCTTTGTCAGCTCGTTTTGTGCAAGGAGAACCATAGTGGAAAAGCATCCACAATCTGGTAATGTTGGAACAATTAATGGCTACCCGAGCACTGGCATACGATGTCAGCACTGGCATATGACGTCGGCGATCGGCCGAGTCATGCTGCGCCAACAATACGGGCGGTAGTCTAAAGCCACCAGCTTATGGTTGATCAAGATCTGAATCTGACCAACTTCAGCTACCAGCTTGCACTGACTGACGACAGCTTTTCTCTCGCGAGGCCGTGCTATGCCAGAGCTGCAATCTGTGGCGGAGTCTGCGTGGCAAGGAACTGCCAAGAATGATTTCCAGACGATGTTATCCCGGCTCCTTAGTCCCCCTTCGTCATTTCCGTTCGGGCCCAACAGCACTTTGGTTAGCCTCTGTGGGTACAACACATTCGCGGCAGCTGCAGGATACGAAAGCTTGCTGGATTCGCAGGGTCTGGCCACTGCTTCGCACCTACAAACAGGGGGCGGGGGGGGGGAGGGGGCGTGCATGCAAAGCCTGCATGGATGCCTGTGAGTTAAGGATGTTGCCACGGCTGCCGTGCTGAACTCTGCTTCTGACGTGGTGGCGCAGCTGTCAGAGATGCAAAGAGAGGACTGCGAAAGAAATTGACATGCCAGTCTGCTTCTTGACCCCGTGGATCCCCGTGGATTCTGACTAGGATGGCCGTGTCATTCGTGCAGAACGAGCTTTGCGATATGCAGCATTTGGATCAATGGATGGCTGCGCTGGCCGGATGCATAAGCGAAGCAAGAGCTACGGGCATTGAAATTGAACAATGCTGGGCATCTCTGCTTTCTTGCATTGGTTTGTGTGGCATCACTCCGTGCCTAGCCCGGCCGCATCATGATCTCCAAAGGTCACTACTGGTTCACTGTCCTAGATACCACGCTGCCCAGATCTGGCGACGACGCAGGGCTCCAACGCCATGCGAGACGTCCGAGTGGCAAACACAACTAGGCGTGCCAAGACATGTCGAGACCAGGTCGTGGACACTGTGGCCAAGGTCTTGGCAGACTCTGCTGTGTGACGGTCCAAGTCGATCTCACCGATGCAAATGTGCAGCTTCCTTCATTGCCAAGATATACACCATGCTGGTGTGTGGCATTTCTTTTTGCCGAGTCCTTGGAGACAGTGTATCAGAGTGTATCAAATCATGCCCACATGCATGAAGCACATCTTCCTCGCAGGTCATGGCAGTGTTGGAAGGACGAGGTCCACGAACAGGTGTGCTCGAGGCAGATTGCGCTCACTAGTCTTGCAGCTGCGACGTAGCACTGCAGCATCAGTGGCACGGTGAAAGCAAGTGTTCTTCGCCGAAGTCACGTACCTGGCGGGTGCTCAAGCGACCTTGGGCGCGTCTACAGCGCAGCAAGTTGACCTTTGCAGGCGTACCCAGTTTCTCGAATTCTGGGGAACCGACAAACAGAGCAGCGACAAGCGACTCACCATATATAGGTCCCAAGGCTGGGAGTCGAGGGTCACGTTGGTTCAAGGTTGGCTTGGCAAACTGGATGCTCCAATGTGAGGGCCTCATTGCACTGCAGAACAAACGCAGTCTGAGGGTGCGTTCTGCGCAGCTCGGTGCGATCGCGGTAATGGGGGTTGGGACAGGTTTGGAAGTGAACTTTAGAGCCTGGGAGCCGCGTTGCTTCGGTTCTCGGGTCTTTGGGACATATCGGTGACAGTGACGAGACGAGCTGTCCGAAAAAGGGACCAGATATGTCAGGGAAATGCTTTGCGAACCATGCGGCTTTTCGGCTTTTTTACATCTACAGCATGACGAAGCGCCGCCCTTCAAAAAATGCATGACGGAATTCAAACTATGACTGTCGGAACATGGAAGAAGTTGCGTTCTGTACTTTCTACAAAACGGAAGCATATCAAAACTGCCAAGTACGGCACGCTCCAAGCCCAGTCGGCTGAATGATGCCGCATACGCAGACTTGTGGGTTCTTCCTGAGCAATGCTGGGTGACACTTCTCGAACTCATGGGTGCACGACATGCCTCTTTATAGCGCATCCATAGACCCACCGCAACCTCAACGTGGAGCTCGCCTCCCCAGCTACTACAGTAGTACTTGCATTAGTCCCAGCACCATCCCCCCGCCCCACCCCTGAAGAGCCGTGTGCGGAGAGGGGCCGCTGGGGGGCGGCCAGGGCAGGGGTCACAGAGAGGGCCGGGATCTTACGCAAGCCCTACGCAGGCCATAAACCCTTTTACAACGTACTATAACGGGCGAGTTCCCGTTTTCATTAACCTTAAGCTGTACTTTACACCCTAGACCCAGCCCTAAACCCCGCCTAAATGCAGGCTCTAAGCCTAAAGCATAAACCGCCAACCCTAACCAACCTACACACACGAAGCCTTATGACTTTTAATCCCAAACTCCAAAAGGTTGTGGAGCGCCGGACCCTTTATGCAAAAAAAGTCGCGGAAGCTGTCACTTCTACCAACGTTATGCGTGATTGCTTCGCAAAATGTCCTGCCCACTTCCCCGTTTGCTTCTGCCTTCGGACAGCGAGGTGCTCCTTCGTCCTTCGGTCGGGCATGAATGAGTCCAATGGTGAAAAGTATTTGAGATGTTTCAAGTACATGAACATGAATCTTTTTTGCTTTGCATGCGATCAGAGGTAGTGCACAGCCCTATTAGGAATGCAAACTGGACGTCGCGACATGGCCAAAAGGCGCAGCGACTTTGAGGCTGAAGAAAGCCTGCTCTACTGAAAGGCGAGGCGATCCCCCATTGAGGATATCCTCCCAGGCATTTCTCGGCGGAGCTGGCACTATAGGCCAGAGATGATCACGCACGGCTGAAGCACCAATCGATCTGATATTGCCCAACATCTCAGCTTCCCAGTTTCCAGGCAATTCGTAGTGACCGGCTGGTGGGGTTTCGTCTCGTGCTTTGGTCTTGTCCCAGATGTTGTCCCAGTCAACTGCTGCGACATCCTTCTCGATCGCGTCATATTTGACAGTGGCAATGTCAGCTCGCTGCTGAGTAGCACCATCGTCCCAGACGGACTTCTCCGTGGCTTCCAGCCTCCATCCTCTGCTCCAGCAAAGAGCCCGTTGGAACGCAAAGTCGAGACACACCATGGCGAGTCTCGCAGATGCCTGGAGAGCCGGCTCGTGCTCCAATATGGTCGCCCGCAGGCATATTCCAAGTACGACTTGGAATATGAATCTATGAACATGTATGTCGATGCCGGGACACCTTCGGCAGTTTCGACGGTGCAAACTTCGCCGGAGGTGGGAGGCGGCTGGTTTTCGAAGGTTCGTAGACAAGTTGTTTGCTCCGGGAGCATCGTAACAGCAAGTCGCCCCGCAGCCGTTCGACCTAGGCTACCTCCGTGCCTTAACTGTGGTCAAGGTGTCTTCTTGCCTCTCGCATGCACCTCCCCGCTTATGCCGCCCTTTGCGCGTGGGGCCTCTGCGGACGCTTGCGGGAGTTGCTTGGCCAGATGGCCCTACTCTAGTGCCTGGCCCTCCTTATACCCGGGCGCACCAACCCCATCCACGTCACCACCGCACCTGGCCTTTGCCGGTTTCTCCCGGCCTACTTTCCTGCCAGCACATCCTGTGCATTTCCACCTACATTGACCATGTGCCTGGTTTTCCGGAATTCTACTGCTGATGCTTCAAGCCGTGGCCGCGACCCGGCGAGACCGCAGGGTGAGATTTCCATCTCATTGAAACTCATCTCTTCATCTTGCTCGCCCGCTTCATTTTGCCGGCTCTGGACTTCTAATTTTCGGCCGGGCCCCGGTGCGGGTCCTCCACAGTGGCAGCGGATCGTGGTATCCGAATGCCTCTCCGTAGCTTGCCCCTCCGAGGATTCGGCCGGATCTAACATCCGATCCGGCCACACTACAGGTGCACACTCGGCCACGCGACCTTGCAAATAGATACTGAAGCAGGAACACGAAGGCCTTAGATATAAGCAGGTCTTCCCAAATGAACGGGGGATGCAACGATGGCGCTCAACATCCCAATCGCGTGCGAGCTGAAGGAA